TTTTATAATACATAAAAAAAAGTTTTATAAAAAATAAAAGCGTTCCATGTACGGGAAAATACCAGTATTTCTGGTCGAATACGATAAGCAAACGAGATCTAAATGTGCTGAATTGACGAACCACATCAGAAAACAGGTTCCGCGCTCGACCGCTAAAACTACACATATATTCTCTCTCACTCTCCCACTGTTAACGTTGGATTGACTTTGCAATAGAAAAAAAAAATTTTGTGATAGTTCTTAGAAGATTTCCAGCAAAAAATTTGAACTGACAATACTCGGAAAGGTTTGTGCCAAGTTACAAATCATAATATTTACTTGATCATTTTATATCGTTTTATATGACGGCACATACTAGTATGGTGCAGCAGACGCTAGACAATTAGTGGCTTTATTTTGATATACTGCTCAGTATACTCTATATCAACAATACAATTCCTATATGTTAAAAAGGCTGCCAAGTCTGTTGTGCGATCATTTGGTGCACTGAAAAAACTATGGGCCTATACAGCTACCAACTTCGTATCATATGAATTGAAGCTCACAAGTGGTCGAGTAGCAGTGCTACGCTCAATGCACTGAACCACTCATAAGATTATGGAACTGAGTATCTACTAAAAATGGGAGGGTATGCATCCTATTGAAACGTGGTCGCAATAAAGTCACATCGTGAGACTTGCGCACTACCACAGGTGGCTGGTCGTACTTATCATAGTACAAGGTATCGAATCCCGACTACAAACTGTGGGACCGAATCAAGACCATAAGTGAGCGTGCACAGCAGCCATAAGTAATTGCTTAAAGCGTTGATGTTAGCCACGACTTGCTATGTTATGAGTGTACCTATATTTATACTTATAACAATAGTGAGCCGCAACTGTGTATATATATATATGACTTTATACTTGGGTACGTAAGCGCAGACTAGTCCCACACCAGTTTATTATACAAGCTCTCTTCTTTGCCTATAAATATGTATATATACCTGCACGTATAGATCGGTTGGTTGTTATATTGCACCACAAGAGGTTGTTGCGCCCGATATATATATATATATATATANTATATATATGTATAGGGTGTCTTTATATATACATTTATGTATGTATAAATTTCATTTTACCAGATTTCTGAAGTAAATTACCAGGTATAAATTTTCTTGAGATAATGTGATGTCTGTCTACGTATAATAAATATCTTATTTTTACGTTAAAAAATTGACTATGGTGAACGAATACAAAAAACAAATTACGTTTTTTTTATTTTTTTATTTTTTGTTAAGCAATATTTCTCATCTGATTCTCGCAAACTCTATTCACCCAAAGTATAAAAAAAAAAAAGAAAAATATGGAACTTACAAATTATGATGGAGTATTATATTCATCGTTTGTCCTCATCGTCCAAAAGTTCTGATACTTCATTTGCATATGAATGACCATCAAAATTTTCAACATTGTACACAGACGCAAATATATACAAATTGTTATGTATTTCATAAATCTTTTCTACCATACCAAAAATAAGATAGTTAACACCATTTTTATTATAAGAAAAACTGCCCTTTTTTAAAATTTCTAACACAAAATTTTTATGCACTTCATAATTTATGATTGACATTTTTCTATTATTTTTTAAATTAAAGCATGAATTTTATCACCTGCGTTTTTTTTACCAATTGATCCTGCCTCGTAGTCCATATGTACATTTTTTTGAGAGTTAAATGCATTAGCTATTTCTTTTAGATGTTGAATTTTACGATCTGATGGTATATCTTAATAGTGCATTGCTGGTCCATTTTCCAAGAGTATTCTGGCGTAGTACGTCAAAAAATGCATCTTAGGCTGGAGTTCGCCGAAGAGTTGAATGTAGAGAGAGTTGTTCTTACGAACCCGTTTTTTTAATATATCCACTCCACCCTCAACTATCTTTGGTGACATAATAATTCCAAATCACTCAAGAAAAGCTAAAAATAATTCCCAAAAAACATCTTTTTTGGGTATCATATCACCAATAATGATAGGTTAGTAAATTATTTAAGTGCTCAATTTAGCTATTGACTATTTTAAATGAATCTTTGTAATTTTTCTCTGACTTTTACTATCTTTATATCGTTCAACATAGATTAATCGTTGCTTACATGATTCTAAGCCATAAAACGGAAAATTTTAAATCTTACCACTGAGTGTGCTAAAAGTACATAACTTATACTTAAAAATCAGATAAGCCCCGAGTGTAATGAATAGCATCGACTAATGGATTTTCTGCAATGTAAAAATTAGGTATTTAGTTAAGTACACACTCTTCAACAACTGAGGTACAACGCACGTTTATCCATTCATTTTTATAGTTTTTTTTCCGTTCTAACTTTGTGCTTTAATTCTTTTGTTAAATATTAAAACTCATCTGCAGGAGCTGTATGTTTCCTGCAATAATATAAAACTGTGAAACTGCGAGAAAACTCACAAATGCAATTCAGGCCCAAATTATCCTCGTTTATTAATACACATTGAGAGCGAAAATTTTCTCAACACCTTCTAAATAAACTAAAATACTATTTACAAATACATTATCAGGCTAGTAAATCAAATCAAGAACTGCTAAATTACCTCATTTTTTTGGTTTTGGAATACAAATTGTCGTTAGAAAAGTATGGTCGACATTGCCAGAAAATTGTGGAGAAAGGCATGGAGAAGATAAGTAACCACCGCCAAATTTGTGTTCTCCTGCGTGTCATTCAAAATCATCGAAAAGGAAAGTTGTAAAAAAAATTAATTCTTTTTCAAAATTTCTGTACTTATGTTTCTACAATACTCTCTGCATGATATTTCATACATGAACTTTTTCTTCCGTAAGCTGAAATACATACTTAGTTATAGCTTGATACGTACCAGGAATTTCTATAAAAAATTTTTAACGTGCGTGATACTGGAATTGTCACACCAACTACTAGTTTTGTAGTGACAAACAATCGTTTTTGGTCTATACAAAAATATTTTTGTTTTGTTTTGTTAACATCATCAAACTTCAAATACAATGGGATCCACATAAGCGCTTTCTTATAACATCTCGAATCTGCAATATTCTGTATTATAATTGGTCAACTGTTTTCTTTCTTTCCTTAATATTTTAGAGATCACTTATAAACTTTTTTTACCAGTAATATGTTTTCTCATCTCAGATTTTAAGAAAAAAGCAAAAATTTTATAAACAAGTTCATTTCGTCAATCACAACTTGTACAGATTAATGCTGATTTGTTATTTCATATAGTAATATTATAAATAACAATTTCTCCTTTTTTAACGTTGATTGATGGATTTTTCTTCAAAATTAAGGGAAAGTAATAATTCGAAGAAGTCACTCTACGCAGGCCAATAATTTTACAAAATTAGATTCACTCCAGTAATAGAATTCGATAAAACTATAAAATCTATATAACATATGTAAGATAGCATTCATGGTAATTTTTTAATTTTAGATTATGTTGCTTAACTGTACTACTTACAGAAACGTAGCAATAAAGTAATAAATGTATACATACTATGCTAGTTTTATATATTTATAATATGCTCCGAAAGAAGTCCGTTAATTCAAATTCCTGCATAATATTTCGTGAGTAAAT